GTCAATTACAAAGATTCCAATCCCATTGATTTCCTTGCGCACTTGAATCAACCCTGACCACATCAAACAACACAAGTGAAGTCCAACATGCAATTAGACACAGCATCATCCCCGCTCTGAGTCACAAAGTGGAGACCAACATATTTAGTGTAAGCGAACGAAAGGCACTGACAAACCCCAGAAAGGACAAAACTATTGTTATATTATCGGCCGACAAGGGACGTCTTACTGTAATAATGGACAAATCTGAGTACATGAAGAAAGCACAAGAACTGCTCCGAGATGTGAGCACCTACCAGCCGATAAGTGAAGACCCTACAAAACGTCTGGAAAGCAAGATCAACAAAACTCTTCAAAGACTGGAACGAATGGGACAGGTCACGATGTTAGAACACAGCAAGATGAAACCCGAGGATTCAGTGCTACCACGGTTCTACGGCCTACGTAAAGTACAGAAAAATGGGGTACCGCTTCGCCCTATCGTGTCATTACCCGGGGCACCAAATTACAAGCTATCTAAGGAACTTTGGAGACGGTTGAAACACCTAATCGCAGGCTCAGAGCACTCAATCCATTCGGCAGAACAACTTCTTGGAAAACTTAAGGGAATAACAATAGAAAGAGACGAGATAATGGTCTCCTTTGACGTTACAGCTTTGTTCACATCCATTGACACGACGCTGGCGAGGCAAACAATGAGGACATGCTTGAACAACACGGAGCGGTAAATACCAGCAACCGAACTGAAGCCACACAAATAATGGAGTTGCTTGACTTCTGTCTCACCACACATTTCACTTTCAATGGTCAAATGTACAAACAGATAACGGGTACGCCAATGGGACCGCCAATCTCTGGACTAGTAGCGGAAGCAGTGATGCAAAGCTTGGAAGAGAAGGCATTGCCAATAGTGCAGCTCAAACTTTGGGTACGTTACGTAGACGATACTTTTGTCATCCTCAAACGCTTCAGACTACAAGAAACACATCAACTAATCAACAATATATTTTCCTGCATCCATTTCACCAAAGAGGAAGAGAACAATGATCAGTTGCCATTCGTAGACATGCTCCTGAGAAGACATGCTTCTGGGTCAATGGAAACAACAGTTTATCGGAAAGCGACCCACACCGATCAGATCTTAAACTATCGTAGTAACCATCCGACCATATACAAGCGAAGTTGCGTGAGGACGCTTTTCAAACGGGCCCAGGCACATTGTAGCATGCCGTAACTGAGGAAGGCGGAGGAATACCACCTATTTTGTATGTTTCAGCGAAATTCGTACACTAGAAGCTTTATTCTACGCTGCCTGATGTCGAAGAGCCAGTCACAACCCGCACCCACATGTGCAACAGAAAGAAGAACAATTATCCTACCTTACATCCATGGGATGTCTGAAATGGCAGCGAGGCTTCTAATGCCTCACGGGATAACTGTTGCATACGCAGCAACGGAAACCGTACGAAGTAAACTTTTTAAGGTGAAGGACAAACTCACTAAGAAAGAAAAGTAGGGTGTAGTTTACAAAATTTCCTGCAAGAACTGTGACAAGTACTATGTAGGCCAGACTGGAAGAAAACTTGGCACAAGACTGCACGAACATAGTCTGGCCATCCGCCGCCACGGTGAGAAATCCTTAATGTCAGTACACATGGATGCCGAGAACCATCAGTTCGGTCTGGAGAACGTTGAAATAGTTGGAAGAGCAAGAAACCGCAGAGCGCGTGAGTTCCTCGAGGCCTGGCATTCTGGCCGGAACTCAATCAACAAACACCTGGAGCTGGAGGGTGTCTATGAAGCTCTGCAGGTTAAGCCAGCAATAGGCACCAGATCGACAAGGAGAAGAGGTGCCCACTCGACCGACTCACATGAACAGATCGAAGACTGACATTCGAAGCAGGCAACAATCAATAATCACTCGGATCTGACAATCGTTTGCGAAACCGCGAATCAGGACTGAATAGCCGCACTGAAGATATTGCCTAGTTTGGTAACGAAACGTCTGCAACCGAAATGCCCGGCTCGGAGAACAGGACAGGGGTAGATGTCGCCCATCTGGATTTCTCAAAGGCATTCGGCCATCAGGATCACCGCATTCTACTTCAGAGTTAAGGACTCAGCGGTCCCATTCTGGGTTGGGTAAGTAACTTCTTCGTTGAAGGTCAGCTGGAGATGAAGGTTCGCAGCACCTTATTAGACCTTATCAAAGTCCGATGCAATGTACCTTGAGGTTCAATCCTAGGGCCTCGTATGTTCCTGGTTTTCATAAATGACAGTGAGGGCGCTAGCTCCAAATATGTTACTATTTATTGATGATAAAACGACATGGAATGCTATGATACAGTTCCGTAGTAATCTGGATAAAGCATAAAGATGGTCCACCGACAACATGTTCCAGTTCAATGTCGTCAGGTGCCGAGTGTACGCCATCAGAGCACTCACGACAACCTGCTAAGGCCACAACTTTCACAGCGCGCTTCTTATGAGTACGATCTCGGCGTGCTCATGCAAGATGACACTGGTTGCTTCCGCTAGAACGAAAAGGCTTTGAGAAAGTAAATCAACATTTCGGCCTTCTTTGTAAGGCATCCGGGAAGTTTGGCGCCTAAATCTTTGCACAAACGCTTAGCATGTACGTGAGAACGCACGTGGAATAGGCTATGCAAGCGTGGAAATCCTGGCAAATACACCACCTCACCGCACTCGATACTGCACAATGCAAGGCGACAAAGAACCTCAGAACCTTATTCCACTTGTCCTACCAGCTCAGACTGAAAACTCTAAAGCTGTAGAGCAGGCGTTATCAGCGTCTGCGGGACGATCTCACAATGGTTTGTAAGATACTAAAATGCTACAACCACAATGGGCACTCGCTTTGAAACAGCCATAACATAATGAAGAGAGGTCACCATTTTAATCTAGCCACGCAGTACAGCCGAGTGGAATGTTAACGAAACTCCTTCTCCTTCTGCGTGTCACAGGTATGGAACTCTCTTCCAACGCGTATAATTAATGCTCCTACGTACTCCATACAAAAATCACTTTGGCGACACAAACACATTTACACTACGTGATGTAGCCCGTTATCACAAAATAACGATATGAGTGTAGAACAAACAGCAAACTGTATCGGACTCCTCTGAAACTCTAAGCAGACATCTGTGTCACTGGAAACCTTTTGGTGAATCCCGCAGATTGTGCCTTCATTTATCAATGCCCGTGCCCATGCACCTCCAAAGAAGGAAACTGGTGAATCCCCGGTTCAAAGAACAACGTAGATTGCAACCATGCTTCAGGAGTACCGTTGAACTTGGCTTGTGAAATTTATTGTCCTGTAATATGCAGACTGCTAGTTCAAAGGGGTTTGATAAGTAACAAGGCATCTAGAACTGAACCAACAGTCTCGACTGGATTGACAATATGAAACTGCTTGATATGCCCTGTATTCTGTATGCAACAAAGTAACCGACACAGCTGTGAATTGGACGGGAACTCTACAGAGGAAATGTCCGCAGATGTTTCAGTATGGTCTGAGATTGTACACGAAAACCAAGGCCAGTTTATCCCTGCAGCCAGACGCGAAGTCAGTCTTCCGAGCAAAGCGACCGGTTCCATTTGTAGTGGTTTCAATCGTCGACTAAGAACTTGACAGACTACAGTCAGCCGGAGTTGTCAAACCGACAAATTACTCTTCATGGACAGCACCCATTGTCAAGAAACCAAACGGAAAGATACGACTATGTGCTGATTAGTGTACAAGCCTGAATGCTGCAGTAGAAGAACATAAATACCCTCTACCCACTTCCGAAGACCTTTGTGCAGGTCTGAACGGTAGCAATTGTTATACCAAACTGGATTTCTCTGACACAGCTTCAGATTGAAAAGTCGGAGGGAGCGCGGGAGTTGTTAACGATAAACACTCACAGAAGATTATTCCAGTATACACGCCTAGCATTTAGAAATTGTTCAGCAGATCACGGATAGGATGCTACAGGGAATACCATATGCACTGCATACATGGACGATGTCATAATCTTTGGACCTAACCAGAAGGAACTATGCCAACGAACAGAGCACGTGCTTGACAGGATAAAGGAGTATGGATTTCGCCTAAGAGTGGACAAGTGTGAGTTTCTCGTGACCTCTATTAAATATGTTGGCTTTATCATTGACCAAAATGAGCGACGACCTGATCCATTAAACATCTAGGCATTCAAGAGCATGCCCCACCTAAAGACGCTGCGACAGAGAGACCGTCCCTTGGTATGGTGAATTACTACAGTACCTACCTATCGTCCACGCAAGATCTACGTGGGTGATAAAAGATGATGGATGACAGAAAGAAAGAATTCGGTTCGTGCATGTGTCCTCCTTTGACAGAGGCCTCAAGACCACTTGCATCACCGGGCGCTAACAGCATCCGATATGCCACAGTGGAAAAGTCAACCGCACTGCTGCCCTTGCTCCCATGTTTCTAATCGTTGGTATTAAGGTTCCCGTAACAAGATCACATAGGGCTAATCTCATGTTGTTTCCCTGTCGCTGAGTAGTGGTATCGCACCGACGCGGTAAATTCAATGCTTAGTTAGGCCGATGAAGCTTCTCAAGGTCCTAGAATCGGGCTTCCTCTCAGATTCGAACGTACATGTGAAGCTAAATCTATGTGTTTCGTTTGGACTTCACAATGTACCCCGATGTTGTGTCTGGCAGATATGAAACATTCCAGTAATCTGGGAGGCAACAAACAACATCCGCTATTGGAAAAGGATATCTGAAGCAAGTGATCAGCACAACTTATTCCAGTAAAGTATAAGGCCAACTAACAAGTGTACATCTCGACGGAAGTGTTATATTCGTTAGTAGCCTTAGATAATAGAAAGATTAGTAGAAAAGTAAACATGCCGTTTGAAAGACGATTTAAGGAAAGCAACCATTGGTTACTGAAAGCCAGCTAGGAAAGTGTGCATATATAAGGTAAAAAATCAATTCACTCTCACCTGAATTGACATCCCTCAATCCAGCTTCTGACTGTAACTCATTCCAGATAGTCTGTGCAGACGGAGCATTTTGATAGGACAGGAAGTGGTAAGGCTCCTCTACTGCACCATCCACACTTGTCGCGGAATGTGAAAAAGGCGCATCGTGAAACCCAGACGAATTCGACTTGTTGGGTTCACGATTGAACCAAAACCCCGGACATCGACGAACCGTGACCTAAGGAAAATTTGATCATGTAGGGGAATAAAGCGAACTTCACAACAAAGCTAATCAAGAAATGTCAGTGTCAAATCGCGACCCTTAAAATACGAAAACATATGGCGACGACAGGATCTAATCTGGGTTTAAGGCCGGTGAGCGTTTGGTAAGCTCGTGCTAAAGTCAGAAACCTTGGGTTAATAGTCCAAGCATCTGGACGATAGGCTAGCCAAACTTCCGGTTTCACCGTCCTTCACTAATTTCTATCAATTCTTTTCCAACTAAAAGCTTTTCATGTACTCGCCAACTTTAAACAATTAGTATCAGCAATAATAATGTAATCAAAGCGAAGTGTGGCAAACCAAAGAGACGCACCGTAGCAAAGTCAAACGGAGTCGTGCCTGATGTAACAACTGAGTAGATGGAAGAATAGATTCCACTGCTTCAACAGCAAGCAAAACTGAAACCAAATACATATCTGTTGCTTGAAATACTTTATAAAAAAGAACGGTCACTAAATTGCAAAACGTGCCTTCTGATTCGACTTGCACGCAATGCCAAAACAACAAGGCAACTCGTCCCCAACTAAGCGATCGAGAAGGCACCCAAAGACTCCTGTTTGATCAGAGGAGAATGAACACGACTGGAAGGAATGACGGTTGGATGGATTCTGTGTCGAATGATCAGAGAACTCATCTTCCTCTTCCGCACCGAATCGATTGCATAGGCGACGACTAGAGGGTTTAACGGAAGAGGACCGAGACACGGGTGTGTATGAACTGCGTGGGGTAGGAGTTGGCCCATGCCAAGAGAAGGAGATGGAAACATCCAGAGGAAGCACCCCAAAGTTGAATGCAGTCCAAACAAACACGCAGGCAGGAAGACAAGAGCTTTTATAGTCGTGGGGTATGACAGGAGAAATCTACAAAAATGGAAACACATTGGACACACAAAGCAATCGATTTAAGTGAATTATTGATAGCAGGAGCAAAGTTAAAACCAAAAAACCTCTGGTGACTATTACACTGACTTGAACCGGTAACCGAGGGTTAGTAGTAAAGAAGAAAATAGAGAAATGTTCGGATCAATTGTCCTGATTTTGCACGATAATGTACCTCCGCACATAGCCAAGATATCAAAAGCTGTTATCCACAAATGTGGCTTTCGGTAACTCCGACTTACAGCCTACTATTCTGATCTGGTTCCAGGTGAATTTCGACCGTTTCAAGAACTGAAGCGATCTTCCAAATGAAAAGACTTCACTTTAGATAAAGAACTGTAACGGGCCGTATAAAGCCAGTTGACATGCCAAGACACTCCATTTGTATGGCACTGAGGAATTGTGTCACCGATATGATTCTGTTAGTATATTAATGTTTGCCTATCGCGCCAAGCCCAAAATAAAGCAAACATTGCTAGCACTGAGTGATCTCAGATTCAGTAGGGGTCATCTTCGATATATCGGAATATACTTCGAATGATCTAAAAGTCGGCACTTTAAAAAGCTTGGTAAACGATCGGCTAATGTATCTGTTGGGCGCAGGAAGCTCTCCTTTTGACAGCAAAGCGTCGCGCGTACATTAAGGGTCGTTCACCAAGCCCGCTGGTGAGGAAGGTAACTAGAAGAATTTCGACTGTTCATTGAATCGAAAACTGGACGCGACCGCAAATTTGGATACACATGCTCAGTATCAGGCGTGCTGTGGGCAAAAAGATATTAGATTGTGGACAACAACAACAGCAGCAGCAGCAGCGAGAGAGAGGTTAACTAAGGAGACAAACCAGATTCAGGAGAACACCCTCGCTTACAGAAAAGGGTAAAGAAAATGTAATAGCCGCAACAGATCACACTGATTGGCAAGTTGCATTTAGGGGAACCAGACAGGGGCATGCAAAGCGAATCACTCTGAGGATTTTCATTGAAAAAAACATGAGACAAAAATGCACCCAATAACCACCTGGTGCGATGTACGGAACAGGAACTAAATTCAATAAAATAGAAACAGTTTCGCCAATCTATGCGACGTACGGCAGACATGTGACTCTGCTGAGAACGCCATGAAGAGCTGAAAACAAGTGTTGGGAAGAGAGAGGGGGGGAGAAACAAATCGAAAGAGATGGTGTGGAACACCGTAACAACTAAAATGCCGGAAATGACATGCGACATCAAAAGTGGATCACAATGAAAGTGAGACAACCGAGTCTGGCACATACTTTCTTATGTCGACTCACAGTGTGATATGTCGAGATGCATGGTACTAGAGTAGACAATGGCTGAAGACAGAACGCAGCTTGCTAGCTGATGCGTGTCTAAAAATAGTCTGCATGTGTTTCACGTGGTGGATGATGCCAGGCAATACGCATCGCTACGGATTGGAACACTTTCCTCTGGTCAGTTAATGCTCATGATTATCATTAGCTAGAGCCGATACTAGTCCAAGGTCAGTTGATGTTAGGCAGTCGTAATGAGACTGACGCCGCAACAACTATGGATGACAGACTCAATCATTCGTATCGCCAGTGCAATCACTGGTGCAAATACGAGTCAAAAAGAAACTGGTACCGCTGGGGGATGATAATCGTTCCGTCGAGCGAGAACTGCACATTGTCTCATTGAGGGAGCAGTGTGCGGTGAAACGGGTGTTAGTCTCCGCAACTGCGATTGGCCGATTTGTGCCGTCAGCCACAAAATCAACAGATAAATGACAGAAGTGTGTCCACATGGGAATACTCTAGCAAATGCAGCCACTGGTTTAAAGCAGCATGCAGCTGGATATGAAGTTGAAGTAACGCCTCAGTCAGACTGGCTGAGGAGTTACATTTGCAAGAAGGCACAAGGCTGCATACGATCATATTCTGCTATCTATCACATCTGACGAATGAATCTAGCACGATGAGGAGCTAGACAACAGACGTAATCGGTCCAACTCATTAACGCCCTAATCATCGATAAATGCCGTTAAGTGGAAGGCTCTAAGGATAATGTAGACAAATAAAAAAGGCGTTTCAAACAGGTTCGAACAATCGAATGATGAGGCATTAGGTCAGACAACTGGCGAAGCCAGGATAGATTCTGGTTCTTGATGTGAGATGAGCCAGGCACAGAAACAATAAGTGCAGCAGCCGGATAATGCTAGTGAACGCAGTACTGACGCGGATAACGAAGCACTTTGGAGGACGGACCGAATCAATCCGAACCAGTCTTTCTAGTAGTTTTCCTATGCGCTCTGTCGATAGACAACTAAAATTTAACCACCTAAGTTCAGGTCAGCAGTTAACACACGAGGGTGCAGGTAAACAGCATGGCCTAGCCGGGGTGAACAATTCGTATTCGTAAGGCAGTACAGTATGGCACCTGAAGTTTATGTACGAAGATGTTAATGTATCATGAGAACCAGTGAATCGCACATAGAGTGAAGCACGCTAGTTGATTAGCGGCAGTGGAGACAGGGTTGACGCCTGGAAGATCTTAACGTGCCATCAATCAAGGATGATTGATTGATGACAACCACTGTAAAGGTACTTCCCCCGCTCATGTAAAAGGCTAGAACAGGCCAGTAACGAGCTTTACTGAGCAGTGATGGAGGAGGACTGGTGGTGCTCGGTGCCTTATCATAACTGAAAAGCACCAGTTTACCCGACAATTCAGATATGCCGACCAGCTGTCCGGAAAAGCACCAGACGGCCGTTTCGCCCTATTGGGGCTCATCAGTGGTGCGCATCCTTCGGTCCTCTGCGGAGGATCGAATCCATGACTGCTAGTGGCTCTTGCCAACTAGCCCGCAGCTTATGCAACTGCGCCATGGAGGACAGTATCTAACTATCGTGAATTGTTAGCTAAATGCGATATAGCCCGACGCATCCTCCACTGCCATGCAGGCACCTGCCATGCAGATGACAGCGGTCGGCCTTCCGGCGTCAGGACTTCCCGGTTACGGCAGCTATGAATCGACATAGCATTTTGTGGAATCCGTACGGGCGATCCCAATAGGCGAAACGGCCGTCTGGTGCTTTTCCGGACAGCTGGTCGACATATCTGAATTGTCGGCTGATTGCGACGAACAAAATACTCACCAAAATCCTTTTCATTCATAAGCACCAGTTTACGTCTCCAGCATCTGAGGTGGGTTTAAACAACCGAGCGATTAATGGTGGTGCCATGTGACGAAGAGGAACCACTCACATAGCATCTTCGCCCCATAAAGCAAACCAGAGGAACTGAGAGTGAAGTAATTGTGTATCTTTTTAACGTATGCTACCTTAGCTGACGCATTACCTGTATATGTGTCCTCGTCATCACAAGGGTTTTCGTTACCCGCCAATGCTCGAGGTCAACCCAGATACCAGAGGTCAGATGTAGCTGCTGCTGAGTAGCACCTTCATGTCAAACCCAAGTGTAAATAGGAGTATCTAATGCACTCGAAGCAAGCAAACCAAAACCTTAGAAATCCACCAGAAGTCCCCTTTATTGATAAGCTGAAAGCACCGAGAATGTGTACTCAACCCATCCGCAACATCAATCAATAACAAGTGACCCTCCAGTTAGGAAAGATATTGGTACAAGGGGAATTGTCAGACTTGATGACTAATAAGTGGAATTGAAGTTGCGCGTTTCGTCAAAGTCAAACAAACAAGAGTTGATGGGGCCGCACCCCGGGGCATGATCATAGTAAAGGCAAATGACACAGATTGAGTGACGCTTTTGTGCACTGGTACACTTCATATAGAACCGATCGGTGTACGGCTGACTCGGGGCCAGAGCGACCAGTCATTGGGTAGGCGAGAGGAGATGCGATGCGAACATGGGTGATTGGGAACAGTGCTTCTGAGAGAGGCGACTGATGTGGTGGAAGAAAATGACCGTCACTTCTATGAAGACAAGCAGCAAATAGGAGACCACTTCCCAGATCGACTTGATGATCCCTATTGGTGTTCAAATCACCCATAATGATGACAAGATCCACAAATTTAATCATGCAAACACATCGCTAACCTCATCCAAGCGTTCCCGGCGTTCAATGAACACGACTTGGAAGGTGTAAAGCTGATTGCATGTGACTGAATTCTTGAGTTGGAAAATGTTGATAATATTGCTCCCATCTGTGACAGCACCCAAACGTGTGGAGAAGTACTGGAGTTTATTGGAACGGTAGAGATGTATGATGATGATGATTGCGGAAACAACACGATCCTTATTTATGAATGGAAGGATTTTGGTGAGTATTTGTGTTCGTCGCAATCAGCCGACAATTCAGATATGTCGACCAGCTGTCCGGAAAAGCACCAGACGGCCGTTTCGCCCATCAGTGGTGCGCATCCTTCGGTCCTCTGCGGAGGATCGAACCCATGATTGCTAGTGGCTCTTGCCAACTAGCCCGCAGCTTATGCAACTGCGCCATGGAGGACGGTAACTGACTATCGTGAATTGTTACCTGAATGCGATATAGCCCGACGCATCCTCCACTGCCATGCAGGCACCTGCTATGCAGATGACAGCGGTCGGCCTTCCGGCGTCAGGACTTCCCGGTTACGGCAGCTATGAATCGACATAGCATTTTGTGGAATCCGTACGGGCGAATTGGTATTACTTATGAATGGAAGGATCTTGGTGAGTATTTGTGTTCGTCGCAATCAGCCGACAATTCAGATATGTAGACCAGTTGTCCGGAAAAGCACCAGACGGCCGTTTCGCCCATCAGTGGTGCGCATACTTCGGTCCTCTGCGGAGGATCGAACCCATGATTGCTAGTGGCTCTTGCCAACTAGCCCGCAGCTTATGCAACTGCGCCATGGAGGACGGTAACTGACTATCGTGAATTGTTACCTGAATGCGATATAGCCCGACGCATCCTCCACTGCCATGCAGGCACCTGCCATGCAGGCACCTGCTATGCAGATGACAGCGGTCGGCCTTCCGGCGTCAGGACTTCCCGGTTACGGCAGCTATGAATCGACATAGCATTTTGTGGAATCCGTACGGGCGAATTGGTATTACTTATGAATGGAAGGATCTTGGTGAGTATTTGTGTTCGTCGCAATCAGCCGACAATTCAGATATGTAGACCAGTTGTCCGGAAAAGCACCAGACGGCCGTTTCGCCCATCAGTGGTGCGCATACTTCGGTCCTCTGCGGAGGATCGAACCCATGATTGCTAGTGGCTCTTGCCAACTAGCCCGCAGCTTATGCAACTGCGCCATGGAGGACGGTATCTGACTATCGTGAATTGTTAGCCTGAATGCGATATAGCCCGACGCATCCTCCACTGCCATGCAGGCACCTGCCTATGCAGATGACAGCGGTCGGCCTTCCGGCGTCAGGACTTTCCGGTTACGGCAGCTATGAATCGACATAGCATTTTGTGGAATCCGTACGGGCGAATTAGTATTACTTATGAATGGAAGGATCTTGGTGAGTATTTGTGTTCGTCGGAATCAGCCGACAATTCAGATATGCCGACCAGCTGTTTCGCCCTATTGGGGCGAAACGGCCGTCTGGTTCTTTTCCGGACAGCTGGTCGGCATATCTGAATTGTCGGCTGATTGCGACGAACAAAAACACGATCCTTGTTTAAGCAGCAGATAGGAGTCGTTTAAAACTTTCCTCACACTGTGCGCTGACGACTGCCTCAGGCAAATTGTTCCAGTTAATCACCACACGGGTGGACAAGGTAACATCGTAATGGACCCGGAGCCTCCTCGGCTTAAACAATTTCCAGAAGTGACCGCGTATCGAACTATCAACTGAGCTGAAAGAACTCCTTCAGAACAATTCCCATCATCCCACGCAGTATGCCTCTGGTGTATATCAGATCGCCACAACGACGACGATAATCCAAGGAAAATATGTTCATCCTGCGAAGTCGTTGGGTGTAGGACAAATTTCGGATCGCTGAGATGGATTTCGATCCTCGCCGTTGGACCCTCTCTATGAGAACAGATTGGGTCTTTCTCAGAGGGCAAACTGCAGGTGAACCATATTCGAGAACAGGGCGCACATGGGAAGTAATAAAGAGTCTGAAGATCTCAGGAGTCATGCAGGAAAAAGATCACCTTATGGCACAGAACATCCTATTAGCAGCCTCTACCCTCCTCAAGGTGTACTGGGTTGTGCGCAAATCAGGAGACGCAAGTACACCAAGGCTCTTCTCACAAGCAGCGTTCCTGAGCAAGAAACCACCAAGGTGATAAACCCCAAAGGGGTACGGAGCACCGATAGGGAGGACAGATCACTTATCATAATTGATGGGCAACTGCCACTCCATTGCCCAGCTGTGCAGCCGGGCTAGTGTCACTTGCAGTCGGTCAGCATCGTCGAGTTTGAACATCTCTAGCCATAGCTTTGAATTGTCAGCATATAGCAAGCAATCCGTTCGGAGCTCTGATGAGAGGTCGTTGATGAATACTTTAAACAACTCGGAACCGAGGGCGGAGCCTTGCGGAACTCCACTGGTCATAAGGGCGGGCTCGGAGTAAGTTTCATTTATCTTTACATGCATACTACGGCCATACAAAAAATCGGCGTTCCAAGAGGAAATCTCCCCAGAAACACCAATTTCCCGAAGTTTAAGGAGAAGCTATTCGTGCGGGACTTTATCAAATGCTTTCCTGAAGTCAACGTAAGGCGATTGCCGACATCCAAGGAATTAGCCCATTTTCCCCTGGTCAAAAGCAGGTTGAACGCACAGGAACGTGCACACTGGAAGCCATGCTGCGTGGGAGAGATGACGTTCACGTTATCAAGATGGCGATTCAAGGCTCTCTTGAGAATTCTCCCAGTGAGTTTACACACTATGGATCTTAAACAAACCGGCCGATAGTTGCCAGGATCCTGACGATTCCCACCATTGTATATGGGCTTAACGACACGAAAGTGGGATGCTCCGAGGCACCCAAACTAGCTTCCGATTTAAGGATATGAGTCTCGAGAACTAGGAACACTTACTAATATGTATGTGTTCGGAGGCAACGATTGAAAGGTGTCTTCTTTCGTACTCAGAGATATATGGTGGATTTGGATGAAAAAAGCATATCTAATGCATTAGCTGGAATACAAAACGCGAGACTATCGCATTCGCACAGATAATTAAATGAAGAGGACTATCACAAACGCGACCAATAAGCTTCCCAGTTTGTGCTGAATGTCACTGATGCGCGTTTCTAACCACCCAAAACCCTGAAAAAGCGGCAGGCTGTGGATTGGAGCAATCAATGCGTGACTTACCTGCAACATGTGATTTTATTTAGGATGGAGGATCAACCTAGGGATAAATTGGAGTAATTGTAAACACCAGGGCTGTGTTCATGTGAGCACACCGCGAAGCAGTGTCCAACGCATATTGTCAACCAATTATCCATCGGTTGTTGCTTAAAGCGCTGCTGCAGTACGGCCAACAATTATGATTGCTTGCCCCTAGAATAACCACCTAAAGAGCCCAATCGGGGACGAAACTAGTCGTAAGGGACGAGTGACAACAGGGCGTCGTCAGTCTAAGAGGAAAATACGTAGCTTCACAGCTCCGGTAGCAAACATTAAAACTATGCAGGTGCATCCAATGGAAGTCAGACCTGGTGAGCTTGTTAAGCATGTAGCAAGTGAAAACCATCGGAAAGAATGACACAGATAATCGACGATAACAGAAACTTGGGACTCAGTAACACCACTCTACATCAAGCGCGAATTCTAATGTTGCAAAATCGATGTTTGCACGCACGTACCTTGTCTGTGTGCTTATGAAAGTGATGGTACTCGCCCAGCTGTAAATGCTGTTTTTCATTCACTTCCGGTCATAGGATGTTTGAAGGTAACGACAGAACAAAGGCATTCCGCCGCAAATTAAGGAACGAAGGAGCCCGCATCTGAAAAGTATTAGTTCAGTGCCCAATATGTTGGCACACATCGCACACGATATTGCATGTGCCATTTTTAGATACATCAAATTGATCACCGAAACAACCGGGGATAATACCTGTTGGCAGACAAGCAGCAGTTGGCAATCAGGGATCTCGTAGACGGTCCAAGCCCTCGGATACAGACCAACGTAGTGGCCGTGATGAGTCGGAAAACCCCACAGCCAATCTCGCAAGCCGGGGGCACACCCGGAGGCATGGGTTCGGGGTGAAAGAACACGTTGATATAGCGTTATGTTCTGACTTTTGATTGTCAAAATGAACTGGTAATTGGAGGGTGATAATGAAACAATGTGTTAGTTGTGTGCAAAATGGGGTTTACAGACACGGGTGCCAATATTCAGATCGGTTAGATGTAAGCACCAAACTAACCAGTTTTGAAAATAAAATGAATAACAAATGGGTGGCAATACGGAAAATGGTCGTTAGCTCATCTGACAGTCACTATGAGGATATAGATCCAAGCTATCCGATCGGCTTAAGGAATCGTTTTCAAATCAGCTGAGACAGTTCCAGAAAATCGTGCTGTGTCGTACTAACACAGAACATTATTGCTATCATATTACCTACAACAACCTAAGTGAGGTGATGAGCAGCCCATACAGGTAGGCAGGTGAATTGGAATTTCGATCAACCTGCGACAACTGTGTGGGTCAGTCAACCGGATAGAAATCGACGTCGGCATTTATCTAAGGGGTGCAAAATTCATTGACTCATGTTCTTTGACGAATTCGAAATCGTAGAGGTGGTTAATCGATGAATGTAAGTGGCGTGATAGCGCAGGCATAGAGGTTAACAATGGAACAATGGTTAATAGGTATAATGCGTCTCGCAGATTGGCAATGGAAAAATTATGAAGTTGAAATTGAATTGACCAAATAAAATACGCATCAGTTAACGATAGTTATGTTGTAAAGGAGACGGGTTGCAGGAGTGATATAGTACCAGGTGGGAGTAAATAACAAGTTGTTTTGGTCAATGGTTGGCGGCATCCGGTTTCGCATTTGCCGGTCACTGTGGACAGCCACAGGACGCCTGCGCCTACAGAGGGACCATGGGTGGCTTGCGCTGCACCACCCACACACCTCATATCCAGCGTAAACCCGAAGAAAAAAGACCGGGAGGCATGCGGATGGGAGCTACTTTTCATCAACGGAGCCGATCCACAGTCCTTCAAAGGCAAACACAAGCACGCTGTATTTAGGGAATCAAGCGCACACAAGGCGGTGGCTGGACCGTAGTCCGCTCCGCACTGAGTGCATGGAACCGCTCTTCGAGTCTAGCACGGCCACGAGGACCGTGCACCCCGTCCCCTTCAGCCAAAAACCAACTGTCTCCTAGAGTCTGTATGGACAAGGTAGTGGGTAATAGTCAGGTAGGCACCTTGTCAACATGCACATCAAGCGCAACCACCCCAGGGATGCCAAGCAATAGCCAATTACTTGGAATGAGGACATCAAATAAAATAAATCGGATAAGTCATACGGATATGCCGGCTTGTAACCAGACCTTCATATCAATCGTCAGCCCTTCCTGCATTCCATTGCTAGTCCTTCATGCGGCTTTCTGCATTCAACAGGGGGTGCTTACACCGTGTCTGAGCTCCGTTTGGATCAATTATTTGTGCTATCCTCTACCATACCTAATCACTGGCTGAAGCTAACTTTCCCCTAATGCAGTGATTCTCTCATTAACGAATATGCGCTTGTTTTCATGGTTCAATAGCATTGCGTCATGTTAGGTACAAGTACTAGACAACTGAGTTATTGTACCTCAATACAAGTCAGTTACGTAGATGCAAAAGCATGGAGTGGGAAAACGCACAGAATAATGAATAACAAAGCGTTTCGTGTTGTGCTTTGTTTTTAACATGCATCCGTGCTGAGACCGTCCGTTGAGGAGAAGGCTGAGGTGGATGTGGTGGGACAAAGGTACTCAACACAAACGCCACTGAGGTCGGCTGCTGGCCGAGATCAGTAAGTTTATCCACTCAGACGTGCTCATCGTCTTTCGTACCCCAACTGCTGAGTCGGGATTCACCAACCGAGCCCATGCTTGAAGTGAGGGTCTTCCTCTTGATCACTTCTTCGGTTGGCCTCCTATCCTATTCCTTCTAGATCCCGGACACACAAACAACGCGTATCGCGGGACTCGGTGTACTGGCACACACACAACACGTGGCCCAGTTATCGGAGATGATGGAGATCGCGCTGATCCCTGTATGATTACAGCATTCCGAACGTGAGCTTCCCATGAATATTGGGACTATAGCGGAGTGGCTCTTCACTTGCAATTTCGACAAATCATCTACAGTAAGAGGTCTACCGAATTTGAAGCATACTGGACGAAGTCTATCTGCTTGTGCGCCCTTATGCAATTCTAACAGTCTGATCTCACCTTCGACTACTGCGTGTGAGTGCGGATCGTACGGGAACCCCACGGAAAAGACAATCAATGGATGATAGAGAAACTGGTAACGCTGTCTGATTAGACTCCTTTCCAAAATGTATGGGCCAACACTGTAAGCGTTTTCACATCCTGTGGATTAACGTGTATGGTCTAGCTAACACCAGGTCTCCTGTTGCCCGTTTCGCGTATCAGACAGAGTAAATTACGATGGTTACCAAGGTCGGCAACAGTTTCACACAATCTGCCGCTGTTGACGTGGCGAATAGTAGGTCGCCCTCAACTACCTTCCTTTGTCATTGCCGAAGAGGAAGCAACCAGCTAGCAAACTTCGACCGTTCCAGTCACTGTGTCAATACTGCTTGTAGCATTGAACACCGTCTTCTGTGCAGCTGTCACCAATCTCCGTTGTGGTGGGAGTTGTTTGATTAGGCCAACTGAATCAGAACGATTGGTTAGGCGGCGACTAGCTTAGCAGTTCTCCTAACACACTAGAGCGTGTCCGTTCTACGAAGCTACACAGTCAGTCAGCTCAATCAATGAGGTAGTTGAGAAGATTTATCGCAATCAGACCGCCACTTCTTATCCAATGAAGTGCTAGACGGCAGTTTCATCCTCTTTGGACTCGCCAGCGGCGCGCCATCTACAAACAAACAAAGCAACACTACATGCCTCGGCATGTGCCTTTTACAGTCCTATTCCGTAACTTGGTCGATCCATCACTGTTTGTCATTTCCCAAACGTCTGTTGGAAGTGGTTTATTGCTCTAATAATGCTGCCAAGGAGGTTACTGGTTTTCGAAGGCCGAAGAACCGAACTAGTGTTGAGTCTCCATCGAATTGGACTCGGTGCCAAACAACCCGCCCGCTATTTCCACCGCCGATACCGACACATCTTACCGACGCTTCACGACCACGCACAATTGCGCGTGTGCTGGGTATATTTGATGGTCCCTGCAGTGACGCGGATTCCATACGGTGACCTCCGGATTACAACGTGTCCGTTCTGCTACTGGCCGACTATTTATACCATGCAATCATTCGTTCCGTCTGTCTTTGCTCCACGACCAATTTCCGTTAACCGCAGATACGTATTATTCCAATTGGTTTATTCCAGGTGTTGCGCATTTCTGATTTCAGTCTCGACCAACCGCTTCTCTTCATGTGCATGATGGCATCATTGACCACTAACTTGCTAGTGGCTAGTTGGTCATGTTCGGGTAATAAACGAAAGTTGATCTCCCGAACGTTGAAAGTTTTGGAAGATATCTATCTGCTCCTGCGACGTGAAATAATTTCAACAGCCTGATAACACCTTTGACTTCTGCATGAGTAGGGATCCAACGGGTCGGTCCAGGAAGAAGAGTGATAAATGGCCAACAAGGAAACCGGTAACTTTGGCTGATCAAACTGCTTCTCAGTGTTCGACCCAGCGCCCCAAGCGTTGTAACAAGCTGTGGATTTGCTGTCTACTGTCGTAGCATATAGTCACGCCAACCCCAGGTGTCCTGCAGCCAGTTCCGTGCATCATACGGAATAACTTACAATGGTTATAAAAAAGGGCAGCGACCATTTCCACTTCCGAAGCATGATGAGACCATGAGGCTTCGCAAGGTCCCTTCAGTCTAGCACGAAATTTTGATATAAGGTCAATGAGAATCTCACATCCGCTCCCTGTCGGAAAGTTTTGGCTAGCGTCCAGTAATTTCAGAGACTGCGTAGATATTTGATGTCTAGGTTGGTAATTTGATTTGACACATGAAGACAGAAGACAATACATCAGTAGTACGCTGCCAATACGTACCGACGATTCGATGCGAAGATCACCCGGTCCCCAAAGCAGGCTCAAAATCGCGACTACGAGTTGCAAGGCAGACGAGTTGTCATTTCGGTCATGTGGTGGTAGCTGGTGAGCGAGCAACGTTAATTCCTTACGCGCGTCAGAAATCGTTAGACAAACAGATAGTTGCAAGCTATCACAGCAAAGTCGTGTGACTGCCTCAATGCGTTCAATCAGACGATCCATCGAGTGAACAAGCGAGTTTTTTTAAAAACAGCTAAGTGTACAGAACCTCGGAATTAAGAACAGCGCTTGTGTGCGGATCCGGTGTGTTTTCTTGCTTTTGATGCGACTGGGTGACCCAGGCACAAAACAGGCTAACGGGTCGATATATGAAGACATGCCTTCTGCGATGCGATCAGCGAGCGCGTACTCAGCTCGGATGCAAGCGCACACTAGCACTAAACCATAACATCCGGCTTCACCAGCTGGTATGTATCTATGCGCTCAAAGCGTTGCTGCATGCGACCACCGAAGCAAACGATAAGATCCACAAACGAGTTCATGGTCAGAATCCATGATCCAAATCGAGCGACGGTTTTGGACACATCCTCTCCAGCGGTAAATGATCGTGATGTGATCGATTAGTATCGATGGCTGGTCTGAGGCTGGTGGGCGGGTATTGTGTAGGAAGCCGGTGTTTGCGAGAAATAGACGAGCATCATCACACAGGTGTAGGGACCGCTCAATGGTAATGTTACGGAAGCGCACATCATGTTGGCCGGCCCAGATGTAGCTCACCAGTGGGCAGTTTTGCAACTTGGGCGTTAAGATCATCCGCAAGCACCACGGCATCTGTACTATCCCGTAAGGAAAGAGCTCATTCAGTTGGTGATATGATTCATCTTTCATCGAGTTAAGGCTTGTTTGTGGGGATGTAGTGTGCAATGACCTACAGACAGCGTTTGTCTTCGCGTAACTTCAAAGCTATGAACGAATCAACAAATCTGACGGCGCACACCTGGCTGTCGACTGGGATCCAGTCAAGCAGGACAGCTTCAGCCTGGGGACTCACAGCAATGTCCACACCGGCTCGACCAGTAATTGAAGCTAAATTATCTCCAAACAAACGCAGTGAGAAAGTGCCAACAGAGTCGATTGTGTGGGATCGCAGAGTGGGCACAGAGCTCAAACAGTCAGATTTAAGAACCAGAAACTGGTAATGGTAAATCAAGCTGAAAATCCCACCAACTCGTTGACTGCATAGCGGTGGTACTGCTGACAAGTGAGGCATCGTCGACAAAGGGGACTTTATGAAGGTAGACAGCAGTCATAGGCGATAATAGCCCATTTGTTTATGTTCAATAAGACACCTGGCACCGTGTTCAAACATGCACACTGTAGACAACTAACAGAATCCGGGATAGGCAGCCTGTCCGTAAGCTTAAGGAATCTGAGAGCGCGGGTTCGAGCCTAGGTAGGAACATGCCGGCCCTCGCAGTATCTTTAACCCAGGTGCGACTGGTGATGGTTACAAGGCAGCGAAGCATCGGTACTGCGTACGGGTGTACTGTTGATGCCTTTAAGTCATATGTTGAACAGGTTAGGCAGAACAACTGCCGAACGACTAGATGTGTCGTCTAACACCTAACAGCGGACCATATGACAGACGGTTCCGACAAACGCAAAAAGCGCCCAATATACACCTGACGCTGCGCGCTTGTGTACAAACCAAAGTTCTGCAATTAATGTCACTGGGGATCAGGCAAAAATCTGCACTTTCTGTAACGCACTGGGTCCAAATTCATCATATGAGGATGTGTGTGTGTGCGGTCAAGTGGCAATACATAACAAATATTGATGCTGAATGGAGGGTCCATTTCTGCGTGATTGAATCGCGACGCGCAATCTCAATGTAGACCGCGGTTCACATTGTAGTGAACCTTAGTCACTGCGATCACTGGGATCGTATCCGAAGCAGATGGAAATTGGGTGCCGCCTGACCGAAAAGATTAATGCTATGACTAAAATGAGAAAGACCAGAGGGGTAGCAGAAGTGCAAAGAAAAGAGGATAAACCAGCACTTAGTTTGCTCTACAGGAATTGTAAATGTGCGGAAACACCAATGGAGAGCCTCAAGTGGAAATTAGGCAAGTGGAGAGAGTGTGGAACATTAAACGATGTACGGTTCAAATAATCCAATACGACGTATGTTGGGTAAGTTGCGAGAAGGGCTCTTTAAAGAGCAGAAGGCAGGAAGCACTCACTTGGTCAGCTGGCTGTTCTTCGTATGAGTACATGCCTGGAATCAGGCTCGACCGAATGAACTCGCCACGAAATCCTCTGCCAATGGCACCACATCCAATTCCTCCCATTGGGACGCCGTATATGGGGTTCCACGGCACATGCTTAGTAGGATCCAAAAATGGTTGACGTCGTTCTATGAATCGCTTGCGCAGATAGTACTTGAATGTATATCTGAAACATAAATACATGACGATAATGCGGTTAAAACTGCGTCAGATCAACAGCCCGAATCACTCGTTGGTGATGACTATGGGAACGCAAGGCTACACGAAACAGCACCCTGTGAGCCAGTGGTCTAACTGAGAAACAAATAATGAAGCTAAAGAACAGCTGATAAAGTATTGGGGAAAACAGATGAATTGATCTGGTACGGGATATAGTAGTTGGGAAATCCAGTAATAACGCAGTAACGAACAACAAACCAGAGCCTGCGAAAAGTAACGGACTGTAGGATAACATCTACAACCCAGTGCAGGTAAAACGCAAAGTCACATCAGAGAATGGACACAGATATAACATGACGACTTTTATGCCTAGGCTATGCGGAGTTGGGCTTGTCAGGAGGCCTGTAGAAAATTAAGACAGATTGGTTGATTCTTAGTGAGTAGACAACTCCGGTGTCGTAGTCCATAGCAGTTCTCCCTCGAAACCCATGTGAAACAAAATTTTACTGATTGGAGGGTTATTTAAGACACTTGCGTAGACAATGATCCACATTGAGTTGAACCCTAGTCATTCGACCACTGGCATCGCTATTGATAAAAGCAGATGGATAATCGTTGTTGCCCGCCCGAAAGCAGTGCACTCCAAGACCGGGTTCGAGCTTGTTTAATCTCACCAGGTTGAGACAGTAAGCATATAACTCAGGAGCACTGTGATGTTAGATGGGACCTCTTGCTCGTGTGAATGAATTAGGAAGCGTAATATGTGACGTGCAGTCGGACCATCTTAACGCTCTGGCACTTCCGCTATTAAGTTATCGCAACTCAGCCCGAACACACGCATTCGATCAAAATCCAAGTGCGCTTCACAACGTTCAATATATCTTGAATTTACGCATCACAAACATTCAAGTTTGGAGCTTTCTCTGCTGAAACACACACAAATTTGTTGGCCTTGTATCACGAATTTAGACCACGCCGGGGAGCCCAATTTAAGTGCTTTCGAAAATCTCTACATATGCTCTATCCGTAGCTGTATAAGGTAGCTACAGGCGAATACATTCCCATCTACCACTGCTATCGTCTTCGGCCAAGAAGCGCCTACAATACCCGGTGGTCTACTAGTGTGTTGGCTACCTCTACCAGCGCGAGTTAGATAGCTCGCGTCTTTGCAAACCTGGCACATCCGATATGTGACCATGACGTGTAGATGCAGCAAAATCACTTGGAACGAGAACCGATCGAGTCGAAGTATCCTGACATCTGTCGCCTGGACCGCAGGGATTTGCCAATCAGCGCGCAACAACTGTGGCTTAGCAGCAGACATCAACCGCACGGATTTTTGAATATAGTAAGACCTTCTAAGTTGACCACCTCTACATTCTGATCACCGATCAAATTTGACCATTTTAATTTTCATTGCTTGGACGTTTATCATGCGAACCGTATGGATGTAAACCTCTGTATGTTGACTCTTCAGTGGTCAAGTAACAGGTTTTAGTGTATTTTCTGGGGACTTAAATAGAAGAAAAGGAATACCCACATACCGCAAACAAACGAACGATAAGTTTGCCTCGAGTGAGTTTCCCTAGAGCTGGGGCCGTATTTCCTTTACCTTTTATACCACTCGCCTCAGTTTTTCAAGTCTTTCTAATAATGTGGCTGGTTTTGTTGTACGGGCAGCGTGTACAAAATGTTACCGTTTTCTTCGTACTATTTGGTGTTGGTTATTAATATGTTGGCCGATAAGTGTCAGTGTAGTCACTTAAAAACCATGTGGAAATCTTTCGAGCTGCATCGTATAAACATTAAGTTCTAGTAATCGGTGAAGTGGTTGAGGAATTACGGGCATAATCGTTGTATTTTCCTCAAGCATAACTGCTTTGCCTTGAATTCAGCAATCGTTAGTGATGGCCGGTAGCATCTTCCAGTCTTGCCGGCTAATTAACAGTCTTGGGGCTTATTACTTAATCATATTTGGCCTCAGACTAGTAATTTCGTTCGTTTCTCTTGTCAATGGACCCATTTCTTTGCTTCACTGAGATAGAGTTACAATATTCTGACCCGTAGCTTCATTTTGACGGAGAAACCATTGACGTATTAGCATCAATTAACTCATGGGAACTGTATTTCATCACCAAATTTGTTTGAAGTAATTATCTGTCGTCTCTAGACATTTTATTTTCTAGTATGCAGTCTATTTACGAAAAGTTTTGATTTCCATACGTTTACTTAATAGCCGTTTCCTTTTAGCACAAAATACGACTTTTATGAGGAAACACTACCTGCTACCCAGATCGACGTGCGAGGATAACACACAACACTTCAGTGAGACAGCAACATCTTGAAGCTCTAAATCGTCTAGTAAACAATAGCCACATTGTACTTTAGTGGCCAGATAAGGGCGCAGGCATTGTTAGCATGAACAAAGTGGACTATGTGAGCAAAAGTAAGGAAATACAGGCTGATGAAACCAAGTTTTTGTAGACCACTGGTGAGAAAGACACACACACTATACACGTTAGCTAGAGGTGGAAAACACCTCAACCACTGTGCCGCAATACATAAAAAGAAAAAAGGGAATAAAATGCAACATGTGCAAACCAGCTGAACTACCGGTAACGGATGGGCATCGTTCCGGTAACCTATCTGTCCGTTATTATGCAGCAGAAAATAATAAGTTACTATGCAAAATTATAAAATGCTAAATAATGAGATCGTGGTTGGAGGGGGAGGCTAAGAGGGATGAGGTGGGACAAAGAAACTCACAGCACGAACGCCACTGAGATCGGCTCCTAGTCATATCAACAAGTGTATCCAGCCAAAAGTGGTAACCGTCTTTCGGACCCCAACCAAGGAGCCGAGACGCTCCAACCGATGTCAGCTTCGAAGTGAGGGCCTTCATTCATCTCGACTAAGTCATCACCTCTCCTCTTCTTCCATCCACACCTCCGGCCCGCAAACAACGCACATCGCGGGAGTCGGTGGACTGGCATGCGTAACACGTGGCAGAGCCACCGGAGCCTGGTGTGTGAAATAACGGTGCTGGGCGGTTCATTTCCTTTTCCTGTGCCATAAACAAGGCGTCGAACACGCTCGCTGCTCACGCGGTGTTCCCACCAGATGTGAGTTAAATTACGAAGGCACCGGTGGTCGAAAGTAACTAGCCTCTTTAGGTCCGCTGCTTTAAGCGGCCAGGTTTCACAACCGTACAGTAGGATCGAACGTACCGCTTCATTGTACACTCTACCCTTCAGGGCAAGAGTGATGTCGCGCCGGCGCCATAAGTGGCGAAGGTTAGCAAAAGCTCCCCGAGCTTTTGCTATACGGTTCGTGATCTCATCCTCAATCCCACGGGCGCTGATACAACTTCCCAGGTAGTTGAATTTCTGAACGACTTCTAGCTGCTCTACACCAAGGGTCAATGAAGGAGGCGATCCAGGCCAATCTTGGAGGAACGCTTTGCACTTCGATGGTGCAAAGCGAAGCCCGAAGCGGCTGACAGCCGGTGCTAATCTGTACATCGCCGCTTGGCACGTCTGGGAGCTGTCACAGATTAGGGTAATATGACCAGCATACTCCAAGTCAAGAAGTCGTTCTCCTAGCAGTAGCTCCACACCTTCTAAGTCGTATCCTGTGAAGGTGAGCTCCATGACTTCGTCAAGAGCGAAGTAGAAGAGGAAAGGTGACAGCGGGGATCTTTGTCTCACACCGCTGGAGATAGTAAAGGGCGACGACAGCTTGCCGTAAGACCTTACTCTGCCTGAGCTAGGCGCGTATAATGATCGGATAATATCTACATATTTCTCAGGTACACCTTTACTGACTAGACAGTCCCAAAGTGCACATCTATCCACCAAATCGAATGCACCTTTGATATCGAGGAACACGACAACGGTGGGCCGCCAATATGTGTGACGGTGCTCCAACAACTGACGCAAAGTGAAGATGTGGTCAATGCATCCAGGACCTCGACGAAACCCGGCTTGTTTTTCACGAATTTGGCTTTCACGAGTGCCAGTCAGCCTATGAAGGATGACAGAGGCAAGCAATTTGGAGGCGATGGAGATCAGACTGATTCCTCTATGGTTGCCGCATTCCGATCGTGAGCCTCCCTTGAAAATTGGGACCATGACGGAGCGGCTCCAGTCGGTTGGGACAGTTTGCTGCTCCTATAGTTTCACTAGTAACTCGTATAAAGCATCCACAAGAACAGATCCCCAGAATTTGAAGAGGGCTGGAGGAAGATCATCTGGTCGCGCGGCTTTAGGTAACTTCAACAGTTCGATCTCACGTGCGACTTCTAAGCGAGGACGGATCCAAAGGGACAGCCCACGGAGCAGGACGATCAGTGGCCGGCGAGAAATCTAACAATTCTGACCGATTAAATTGCCTTTCAAAGTGCTCAGCCCAAGGTTCAAAACGTTTTGACAAGTTGTGGATAGGCTGTTCACTGTCGTCACGTATAGTTTCAATAACACCAGGTCTTTTGCTGCCACTGTCCCGTATCAGCCGAAATAACTTACGATGGTTACAAAGGGCAGTGGCCATTTTAACCTCTGATGCACGATGAGACCATCAGGATTCGCGGTCTCTTCAGGCTACCACGAAGTTCTGCCCGGAGCTCCTTGCGAGTTTCATTGTGTTCGCTTCCAGCCGGAATGTGCCAGCGAGCATCGATAAGTTCCAGAGACTGCGAAGAGACCCAATGTCCATGTTGGCGATTAAACTTACCACACGAGAATTTGGCTGCTGCTAATAACGTCTGGTGAATATGAGACCAGTGGTCTTCAAATGTTTCCACTGAGCGCTTACTCAACTCGCATGACAACGTACTTTGATAGGCATTCAGAACAACTGGCTTCGCCAGTTGGTTGGTGTCAATGCATTCACAGCATCGTCGTGGGTGTCCGCCAAAACGCATCCGCAGGTCAGCACATACAAGTGCATGGTCGGTGTCCACACCTGTGCTCCAAATCGAGCGACAGTTCTGGACGCAACGTCTCCTTC